GTGGCTCAAAAGTCATAACCAAATACAAATTTTCAATTTTACGTAAATGCTATAAATGTTAAGATTATATTGGGAAATTTATATTTTATAATATGCCCATGAAGTAAACTCTAAAATCGAGTGACCAAAGAATGAATCAATAGAAAACTACTTTTTATTTCTATGGAATATGCCAATATGGTTATTTGACATTTTTAATAGTAATTATATAGCTATAAATTATAATAGTGTAAACGTAGTGTTTTTTTTAACTTTTTAACTGTCGATAAGTACAAAATGTTTGTTAGMAATTTTTCAGGTCACAAATCATAATTTAGKTACCTACTCAAAACAGTTATACCTATTACAGAACTCAGCCAATCAATATTTATTGAATTGTATGTTAAAATTTGAGTGGAGAAATAAATGGATTTCTTTTACAGAGATGTGTTTTTTTTTTTATCTCATCACTTTTTTGGCAGTGAACAATTTTGATGTTAAACAATACATTCAGTAATAATTATCTACACACTCTAGTTTAAGTATATTTATATGCATATAAAGGAAGTAAAAATTCTGAGATGACGGCCTTGAAATATTTTTTTATTTAAAATATTTTTGGTTATTCAGTTATTATTATTATTAACCTAGCCTTTTTTACCAATTCTTTTTTTGTTTATAATATATGTTTTTAAGTTTTTTACATCTATACATTTTAATAATTTATTTGTGTGAAATTGTGAAATTCGGGCATGTAAGTATAGTATATTAGTATATCATTGAAAAAAATAATACTAATGACCTTTTTTTATTTATTTTTTGCTTTTACATCCATGGAAGGGAGCCTTGACAGTTTTACATTAAATTTAGGGGGCCCTATAACAAAACAGGTTGAGAAGCACTGCATTACAATATCGGGTTTTGTAATTTATGTTATTGCTATATAGTATATTAATAAAGATGTTGGRTCTAGTTCTAGAGGGTATGTTACACCTATATTTATTGTCTCCGTCTTACAAGTTTCAAGTGCATAACATAACAAAACTTACACTCAGCATTCAGCAGATCACGTTTACCTCCGTTAGTTTAAAAATTAGAGTGAATTGTCCTCTTATAACATTTAAAGCTAAGATTATTATCTAGAACTAGATGATGTCTTAGGTTTTTAATCATCTTTTAATTTTAAAGTGAGTTGCTGAGTTACAAGTATTTTAAGTTGTACAATAAAGCGTGATTGGTATGTTACCTGGCATAACGTACTTGTAAAACAAAGATAACAAAGTATGTCATTGTGACAGTGTCCTGCCACTMTCCCTGCAAGACAACACTACACTCTTATTTTTTGTCTCCGTTTAACAAATGTACAACATAACCAAAACTGTTTAACGTGGGACAATTATATTATACTCCCTCTGTATTTATGTAGATTTACCAACTCCACATCATTAATTTATATTTATAATTATTATTATTATTATTAAAAAATTTTTATTAATTTAAATTGCATAAAAAATTATACATGAATAATATGTTATATGAAGCAAAAAATATTCTGTAAATCATTGTTAAAAGCAAAAATAAAAATACACACACTAGTAACAATAATAAAATCTGTGCAAAGGGCTACTAAAATAAAGATAATAAATTATATACTAATAATATTATTAAATAAATCGTAAAAATTAAAACAAAATACTTATACCAATTAAAATAGAGTACAGGTGATATGATGATATATTGATATATTACTGATATATTATTTAGTTTATCTCATCACAACACTCTAGAAAGCTACCAAATATGAATTTTACATTTTTTAATATCAAAAATATATTTCTATTTCTTCTATGGACCTTTTTTGAAAAGTAAGGTGAATATAAAATATAAATCCATATTCACTTACATAGTTACATGTTACATAATTAAATATATTTTATTTAGAGTATAAAAATGGTATAACTGAACTGAAATATAGTATTCGAAAATTAATTAATTAATTTCACTATCTTTATATTTATTGCATTTTAAATTGCAAGAATAATAATTAAATTAAATTAAAACTAATCTATTACAAAAAAWTTTTTTTATAATAATATGTATAACTTAAGTACCTATAGCAGTCGGTAATTTTTTTCTGAATAATACTTTTAATTTTAATTTCAAAAGCGAGTTACCTTAATCGACGTACCAACAAAATATCATTACTATCCATGTTCTCATCTTCCGCCCATTACAATACAGTATTCAGTGCATTCACTGCTTCTGAAGGAGAAACTTCGAAAGAAGCATCGATTTATTATGTACCTACATACATGTATTAGTCTTTACTAGGAACGTAGGTAATACAAATGACAAAATTGTATTTGTCTATAACAATATTTTATAGATTAATTGGGTTGCGGGAATTCTCKTAAAATTTATTTACAAACAAATGGAATTTTGCCATCTCGATTACCGCGTTCACCAGATTATCGGAGGTCTGGACTATCGAAGCTCTACTGTAACTTTAAATTCAATGATTCATAACGGAAACAGTATTCATTCAAATATCTTATTTCAAACAAATCTTAACTCATAATAACAATAAAAATAGTTATTTATATATATGTTTTAGGTTTTAAGGCGACGACATGAACTACTTTTAAAAAACATTGTTTTGAATTGTCAATACTTACAGCTATAAAAACTGAAAATTTTATAAATTTGTAGTCACAAAATAAGTTTCAAATTTTTGAGATTTTGATGATTTATGTGAAGTATTTATTTATTTATTTAGCATACAATACGGACGTGAGCCCAATTTCATATAATATTAATATATTAATATAACAATTACAATAATGTGATAACAGTGAAATATAAAGATACATAAATACTTGGTTAGGTTATGAAATAGAAAAGAAGGGGTCTGAATTAGCAATAGACATACAGCGTTGAAGTGGTTCATTTAAATCATAATTTGTGGAGGCGGKTAAATTGAAAGAGGTGTGTTGACGGGTGAAGCGTAAAGGGACATTTAAAGGAATTAGAGAGGAATTATTGAACTTAGGATATTATAAAATTATTACTTATGTCAGTAATGTTGGTATTTTTGAATTGCTAATACCTAATAAGTACCTAATATGTACTTTGACCTCTCGTAAAAATTAATTACACTTTTTCAATTAAATACATAACTCAAAATAAGTTAAATAATTTTTGAAATTCAATGAGATATATATGAAAATGGTAATATAAACATCTGTTAAAAATGTAACAGATATTAGTTTTTAGTGACAATGAAAACACTTAGGTAATCAATTTTGTTAAAAACAKGTTTTGATTAAAAATCCTTATTTTTCAATTGTTTTTGTAAAAACATTTTAATTATGTATGGCAGTATGCTGTGTGAATATTTTTAAGGTTTAACTCTTCAGTTTTCACAAAAAAAATATTAACATTTTAATTATATTTATAATTTATATAGTATTAATAAAGATCATCAAGTTTTTAATAGAAAATTATGTTAGGTACCTATACTCAAAGTGTCTCCAACAACTTAGTTCTTAGGCAATGAAGATGTAATTTTAATGAATGTCGTGCATACATTTAATATATTTAAGTGACTTTCCTCAATGGCATTCAACACTCGATGCTTACTGACAGCTAAGTAGTACTCCGTATATTATCCCCCTTATTACAATAGAATTTTCATAGTGTTAAAGTTCTAAAATCAATCAATACTATAAGTGTAAAAATACTATGCAAACAATGGAAGTTATTGAAACATAAACCTATGTAATATCAGTGCCATAGAAACTGCGGTGCGGGCGGTTCATTGCACCGGGGCCCCACGTTGCAATTTCTAATATGAGACCCTTACTTAAATAAATTAATATAAGAATTAAGAATCTATACTAAGAACAATTTTTTTTAATAAGATCATAATATAATTATAATGCCGWTAGCACTTTATTATTTTAGCATAATATAGCATCCCCCAGGCTTCAAATTAGCACTCCCAGTTCCCAAACAATAACATGTAACAATATAATTATTTTTAAATATTTTGAATACATAATATATGATGTACAGTATAGTTGCTTAATAGTTTAAATAAATAAAGAGTAGCGATTACATTAACATTTATACAATTTCAACTTTATTATTAGTTATTAATTTGTCTGAACAAAGTATTGAAGAAAAATTGATCAAAATTTTAATTAATTACATTAATTGTATTATAATTAAAAAGTAAGAATATGAATGAGTAAAAATTTAAAATTATTGCAATGCAGTTTATTGCAGTGGGGTTACAGACTGTGGGGGGAAAGCCCCCACAGATCTGTGTACCATCAATTATATCAGCACCCCATATATGCACCCAACGTGCGTCTATTTAAAGGGRCCACAAATTAAATTTGCACCGGGCCCATCTAGTTCTAGCTACAACGGTACTGTGTAATATTATAATATTATATACGTACGACATGTTTACTATAATTAGGTTATACTTGCTCGCTGGTATATTATAATTATTAATTATTATTGCAGTTAATGATGTTTATACACAAATTT